TCTTCTGGCAATTAGCAGCACAAAAAGCCCGTCAGGTTTTGTCATTAGATGTCAAAGCTAGTGCGCATGTCTTGAAACTCATATAGCAAAAATAATGTTAAAGTTCCCTTAACCACTTTAAGCTTGTTTCATTATATTAATTAAATCATGAATTTCCAAATGTAGTTAAATAAAAAAGAGAATGTTGGATAAAAGGGAAAAATATTAATAGGAATTAAAATTAAAAATACACAAAAAATAACATAACAAGGGCAGATAAAAGATATTATGTTTAAGTTTAAGTGTCACTGCTACATACAATTTACCACATTGTAAATGGAGACCCACCCCCAGCACTCAATCTAAACTGGTCCGGTTATACATGCCCATATCTCAGCCAAAATCAGACCAGCACTTATGGTCCGTAATCGGGCCGAATGTGGCTAAATGTGCCATGTCTCAGTGCAAATCAGGCCAGATCCGCACATCCAAAGCCTAGCCAAATCTGGCAACCATTACTGGGCCAGAGCTGGCTCCCTTTCGGTAAGCCGCTGCCAGAACTCAGCCAAGTGAGCCGACACTCAGCCGCAAATTGACCTGATTGCGCCGGCTACCTGGGAAGTCACCCTTGAGCTCCCTGACTATCCTGTCACGGCCAAGAAGGCCTTTCCTGAACTCTCTGCCTATCCAGTCACGGCCAATAATGCTGTCTCTGAACTGTCTGCCTGTCCTTTATGGCCACAGAGGCCTTTGTTAACCTTTTTGTGCTCTCTATTACAGTCCCGCTTGATCCGCCTTGGTGGTCATCTGCCTTGTCAGCTCCACTTTGGTGGACATCTGCTCAACCTGAGCCATATTGGTGGTCCCCTGCACTAGAGGTCTGCGCGGGACTGTTTTTTAGTCCCGCTCCCGCAAGGTTCTATTCTGCACCCACCCGCTCCCACTATACAGGTGCATCTCAATAAATTAGAATGTCGTGGAAAAGTTCATTTATTTCAGTAATTCAACTCAAATTGTGAAACTCGTGTATTAAATAAATTCAATGCACACAGACTGAAGTAGTTTAAGTCTTTGGTTCTTTTAATTGTGATGATTTTGGCTCACATTTAACAAAAACCCACCAACTCACTA